CCTACACCACCAGAAGGTTGGCAAAAAAGCCGCAGGTGTGGCGAGTAAGTAATTGCCACCTTGGAGCAGCACGGCTGTTTGTGGCTGTTTTAGCATCCCAGCCCCCTTGCTTTGGTGGCCATTTGGAAAATGCAGTCAGAGCTATTCTAATACCCATGATTTCTAATTTCAGCTATACGGGCAGGGAAGGAGAACTGACCTCTGCCCATCCTTCACTCTTACATAGCTCCCCAAATACCTCTAATAGCAAATACCTGAACTGAGCTCTGTCCCAGGGAGCATCAAGGACTCCCACATGTTCTCATGCAGAGCACTTGGAGGCCAAGTGTCCTGAAGAAACCAGCGTCCACCTAAGCACCAGTACACTACACAGGGTGGAGAATACGTCTCAGGCAACTGGTGGAAAAAGCCTGGGTTCCCTGCGGTGTTCACCAACAGGCATCTCCCACCTCCCCACCATGGGTACAGCAGCAGCAAGGTGAGACAATCCATATTCACAGGCTGACAGAGTTGGGGTTGTTCAGCCTGGAGAAGAGAAGGTTCCAGGGAGACCTTATAGCAGCTTTTCAATATCCAAAAGGGCCTACAGGAAAGCTGGAGAGGGACTTTTTACAAGGGCATATAGTGATAGGATGAGGGGGAATGGCTTCAAACTGGAAGAGGGGAGATTGAGATGAGATATCAGGAAGAAATTTTTCACTCTGAGCGTGGCGAGACACTGGCACAGGTTGCCCAGAGAAGCTGTGACTGCCCCATCCCTGGAGGTGTTCAAGGCCAGGTTGGACGGGGCTTGGAGCAACCTGGGCTGGTGGGAGGTGTCCCTGCCCAGGGCAGGGGGGTGGAACTAGCTTAAGATCTTTACGGTCCCTTCCAACCTAAACCATTCTGTGATTCTTTATCTTCAACAAAGAAAACTAAAATTAAGTACAATTGAACAGAAGCTCAGTGCTCAAGAGTCCAAGCAAGAACCATAATGTAGAATGAGGTCTTTGCATTTGAGATAGTACTGGGTTTGACTCATCTGCAGTTTCCCTCCATGCTCCCAAAGGGGAATAGGATGGGGATTTTGAAACCATTCATCTAACAAAAAAGATTATTTGGCTCGCCAGCAGTAAATTGGCAAAAGCCTATATTCCTTATTCATGACCTAACATTTTACTTAGAAGCGCAACACTGAAATACTGTTATGCTGAAGCCTCACCACACAGCAATTGTATGCCACCAATTAAAATTAATTATAGCTGTTGAAAACCTTAGAATGTAAAACCTTCCAAACTGCGAGGGCAAGCTAATCCTGCTCCAATTTCAGGAAGGAAAAATAAACTTAATTTCTAGAATTTGACTATCGCTTTCATGTCTTCCCAGACAGGTCTCAAACCCACATCTAGTTTAGTTAGCACTGGGATCCTACCCTAATCCAAGCCGTGATTTCAGTTCTGAACCCTAAAGCCGTCTTTTGAATGACATAAAACCACTGAACAAGAATGGCTCGCGAGGTCTTTGTACAGACAGACACACAAAAAAAAAAAAGACACACAGGCAACAGTACAACCAGGGTGACAAAAGTGCTGAGCAAGGATGGAGGATTAATACCTGTGCAGAACCTCAACACTGCTAGTTTTTAACTCTCAGGCTCTAAAAGTAACAAGCACAAGTGTGTCTCCAGAAGCTGGACAAAGTACAATTTTGTTGCATTTTTTTTTTGTGTGTGCGAAAAAGGCTCCAGGGTGCCTTTCGATGGTGTGAGACTGCAGAGGAAGTTGGTTTCTCCCCAGTGGCATGGCAATGACAGCTTCCACTCAGTCTTCTATCTATATCTGAACTTAAAATTTCTACAGAGAGAGAGACAAATGGGGGCATAGCTGGCACAGCTTACGTAAAAATGTGCAAAATGCCGTGAATAAAGTGACTATTTGTCAGCCCCCTCTGAATGTTTTCCTAATAAAACTCCCTAGCTGAAGAGCACACTGTCCAAGTCAAAAAGCCCAAGACATGTCATACCTCCTCCCCATTGCTTCCTTCATGCAGACTCACCCCAAGAGCACAAACTTTAATCCCATGGTGATTAACGCCTTTTTGTCATTCAGACTTTCTCAACCCACCCCCCAAAGCAACGGCTTTCAAAATTCACATACCATCTCCTGCTACCAGGCCTCCAGCATCACCTCCAAGGCAGCAGTGTTTAAGGAGGACCACCAGCCCTCGTTCCTATGGATTCACTCCAATTTCTCTACAGCAGTCAAATACAGAGGCTTCTTTCTACAATTAGAGGCCTGAAACAAATTCTGTATTAAATTGAAAATATCTAGTAGTAAGATCCAATTTAAGCTGAAGCACATATAATGGCAACTAGGGGGAATTTGGGAATTATTACAGATAGTTTCTTCACGTGTGGTCAGTTCAAGAATTCCTAAGCAAGTGCAACTAGGAATAAGAAAACCAATCACCAGGTAAGCTTCATACTGCAATTTTGCCTTCCCAGTCTCTTCCTTAGGTGTAAGTGACCTAAACACTGGAATTTCAGTACACTGTGTTCTCCAATCCATTCGGCAGTCTTTTGCAAAGCTATTCTCTTAAAAAAAAAAATGTGTTGAAAACACAGCTGTTTCCATTGCCCTGCTAGAGGAGGGCAAGAAGATTTGGCAACACGATGGATTCCTGACCGGTTCACTGGCTCTGCGGCGACTGAGCTGACCTGCGCTGCCCAGACCGACAGCGGGACAGCATCGGCCCCTTCCTATGGTCAAACCTTCCCCCCGGCCAGCACCCTGCTTCTCACCCGAAACTAATGTCAGGCTGCCAAAGGAAAAATCTTCCGCGCCCAGCTCCAAGCCCAAGGCAGACAAAGACCAGGCTCTCCTTGGCAATCCCCCAGCACCCCCAGGACTCCCTCCGGGGGGAGGTAGAGGGGTTAAACCCCTCACCGCCCACCCTTCAGCTCCTGCGCTCTGGGCCTTACCTTGCCCAACTGCTGCAGCTCTGTATTTTGCCTTTCTGGCTAATAAAAGCCAGGGAACGCGCGATGACGAAGACTGAGAAGCGCTGCTCGTTAAGGAAGTAGTACTGCAGTGAATTATGATTATATTGTGTAACGAAATCGTTAGGGAACACAGATGTGGCTGCACATCCATCCCCAGGATGCCGGGAGGGATTTACAAGCAGGTTGGGCACACGTTAAAAAATAACCCATCAGGAGCTCAGGCTTATCACATCACATTATTTCCACGCCGTTCGCAGAGGCCATAAGGCTCCATCATCCAGTGGGAGTTTCAGGCCCCCAAATTCTAAGAGGTAAATCGTCTCCTTCCCACCAAAATTACAGAGCCACTCAGGCTAAGTAATAGCTCAAGAAAAAAAAAATCTACCTTTGTTTTTTATTTTTTTCTTAGCTAGGTTTAACTCAAATGGATGCTAACAAAAATGAGGTAAGTAACAGACTAAAAGCTCCACAAAGAAAAAAAAAATTAAGCATATACTACTGTCCTTTTTACAGAAAAGAGAATATAAAAATCACTAAGAAAGGGTAACAGCTACATCCACAACCAGCAAAAGACAGTATCTAAACCCTCGCTCTCTTTAGATATTACAGGATGACTTCACTCTAAAGATTTAGAACTCAAAACAGGCCTTTTATTTAAATATCTTCCTTTTAAAAGGCATTTCGATAGACAGCTCTTTGACCCAACTGAAGCACTAATTCATGGTGCCTAAAAAAAGGCGAGCGCTTGGGTGCTTTTGGAGGTTTGATTCACAAGAAGCTGGCGACAGCCACAATTTCCATGCTGGGAACAGGGCGAGCGAGGGGGCAGCAGATCTTCAATTTTTTTTTTAAGAGCATAAATGCACTTATATTTGCAGTGGAAGGCAAGCTTCCCCCGGCAAACGCGCTCAAACTTCATTTACGTTGGGCATCTTTTTAATAGGGACCTGCTGCTCCACTGGGGCTAAATCAAGCCGCTGCTTTCTGAAGCGGTTGGGGTAGGGGGAAGAGAGGAGCTCCATCCAAGCTCTTGTCGGCCCACTTTGCGCATTCAGCAAGCGCAACTCGTGACCTTTTTATGCAATATGACAGCTCCTGTGGCACCATCGGCAGCACAGACAGCCAGACGGCAGGGCCCAGAGGGTTAAGCCGGGGAGGAGTGTACATAAGGTGGTAGATGCAGAGCCAATGAGGATATTGCGCTATAGTTAGACACTGGATACTAAGCAAGGGTGACTATAAAGGCTGCTCAAAGCTGAGCGTCTGGAGATGACACAGGCATGCCGCCCTTAGCTCCCAGGCTTACAAAGCAGGAAAAAAAAAAAAAAAAATGCCATAGGAGGACCAGCTCGGCTTACCTGAAGTTCACACCACGCAACTTCCACCCATGTCTCGGTGTCCAGCCCCTTGTAGACCGTTTTGAAGGATCCCCGGCCGAGTTCAATATCAAACTTTAGGAACCTGCCATCCAGCGAGGTGGCAACTGCTTTCATATCCGCCTCCTCCTCGGGCTCCTCTTTCTTAGCCTTGCTCTGATCCTTGGAAGCCTCCGAGGCCTCTTTCCTCTCCGCATCTCTGCTCCCTTCCTTCTGC